GGGAACAGGACCAACCGCAGTGGCATCGGGAATAGACACACCCATGGACATGATGCAGAGGTTGATGCCAAACTCCCAAACCATGGCGGCAGCTTGTTCAGCAGCTTCTTGAACATGGCCAACAGTATTATTGGAGCAGGTAAGATTTGCTTGCCTGCGGCTATCATGATTGGAATCAGCTCATTCGTGCTTTTGCTTACTCACTATATCTTTCCTTCGTTACTTGAACAAACAGGCATCATCGGTACGTTGTTGCATATATATTCCCACTGACTAAATTAGGACGGAACAAGGATGCAGATATCGCAGGCAGGAGTAATGCTAACCCGGTGATTTTCCTATGTAACATTATGGGCTAAATTAGGTTTACCATTTGCATTCCAGGAAGCGGGGTAAGCAATCGTTCCACTGATCAGATATGGACAAGCTATTGACAACGTGCTAACCCTATCCTATATATATCAACTGCTCCTCGATATAGTATGGGAATGGGTATTATCCTGCTCTGCGTATTGACTTGGATCGTTGGTATGAGATATTTTGTGTGAATTATTGATTTAGATGGATTTACCTTTCGGATGACCCGACAACAGCAACTCACCATCTGTATCCCTTCATTTTAAAAAAAAAAAAAAAAAAAAAAAACCCCTCAAATTTAGACTGGACGGTACAACTTTTGGTTCACAGTGGCAAGCTTTCGGGAAGGAACACCTACCAGGATTTGCTCATGTTTTGCTTTGGCAAAGCTGGCCTTATTATGATCTCAATTTTTCAGTTTATTTTTGCATTTGGAGGTAGGGTTGTAACTTCATCTAAGATCATGTTTTGTTTTAATTTATCTTACACTGCACTGACCATCAACCGTACTATGTTTCAGCGATGTGCGCTTATACGGTCATTGTTGGCGATACCATGCCACATGTTCTTCAATCGTTATTCCCAGGGATTGAGACAGGGACCTTTGGGTTTGTCGCGAGGCGCACGTTCGTAATCACCTTCTGTACTGTTTTGATTTCATACCCACTTTCACTCTACCGAGACATTTCAAAGCTTGCCAAAACAAGCGCTGTAGCCATGCTGGCGTTGGTTATCATTGTTATTGCAGTTATTATTGAAGGCCCTAGGGCGCCTGCTGAGATTAGAGGAAACCCGGATCTAGTCTGGACCTTTGCAAGGCCAAAGGTCTTTCAATCCATTGGAGTTATCAGCTTCGGTAGGTTCAGATACGCAATTGCTTGTGGTACATTCTCAATGAAATAGATGCCGTTGGTTCCATCGGATGCTAACGTCTCTTGTATTATACAGCTTTTGTGTGTCACCATAACTCTTTTTTGATTTTCGGGTCTCTTCAAAAGCCAACGGTATGAATTGAGTTGGTGTTGACAGATCAATCAAGATATAACTCTCCACTTTCAACATGGTCTAATGGAAGATATCTTTTTTTTTTCCCTCCCCCTCGACGCTATAGTTGAACCGTGTAAAGATTGTAACACATATGAGCATGGCGGTTTCGCTTTTTGCGTGCCTTGTCTTGGCGCTTTCGGGGTATATCAGTTTCTCGGATAAAACCCAAGGTTCGCATTTTTTTGATATATGTATATTTGAATCCCATCACATTATCAGGGTTTAATTAACATATGAATCTGTTACACTCATCTTCTTAAGGCAATATCCTCAACAACTTCCCATCCGATAACTTCATCATTAATATCGCGCGCTTCTGTTTCGGAGTCAATATGTTTACGACATTGCCGTTGGAGGCTTTTGTCTGTCGTGAGGCAAGTCTCTATCACCTCTGTGTTACCATGAGCTCTATTATTTTTCGGTCCTAACTCTTTACCATCAATATCAACATTGTCATGCAGGTCATTGAAACTTACTACTTTGCTGGGAAACCATTTTCGATGAAACGACACGCCATCATCACGACAGGTCTTGTTGGAGTAGCCCTTGTGATTGCGCTTGTGACCTGCGATCTCGGATTCGTGCTTGAGATCACAGGCGGATTTTCTGCTACAGCACTGGCTTTCATTCTCCCACCTCTTTGCTATCTAAAGTTGGCTTCAGGGCCGATTTGGTCAAAGAAGAAGCTCCCTCATCTAATATGCTTAGTATTCGGTGTTGCAGTTATGATCTTGAGCACATTCTATTCGCTACAACACTTTTTTAGCCCTGCGGACCCAAGCACTGCGACGTGCATGTAATTTTATCTTCAGACCTTGTCATAATAAAACCTATTAGCTTCGCCTGAATTTTCAATGGGATTTAGATTTATTGCATTGTTCAGTTTTTCAGAGCAATTAGGATCATATTCCTGGGACTCTCGACTACATCAAACCCTGCCACTAGTTGAACTGAGCCCCCTTGTCCTCCGCCACCAGACGTCTTTATACTCTTTCCTTTTCCATCATCTCCAACGATATTCTCATACAAGAACGTTGCTCTGTCCAAAAGAATCATCCCTTCAAAGAGTGGGCCTAGCATTGTCCTGAGCGCCCACAGGATGCCAATCCTGTACAAATCCTTTTCTAAATACTCATCATAGGCCGCCTGAGCATCCTCGGGTCGGATAACGTCTGTTGGCAGGCGAAGGCGATTAATGGCTGTAGCCAGATAGTGAGGGAATCCTTTGAGGCGATTCTTACCCATCCTACCAAGGACGGGTGCAACAGCTGGGGGACCTGGATAGAGGCCCTTCTCAACCATAAGTTTCTATTTCAGGCGAAGCATACAAAAGTTAGTATTCTTTCAACTCCTCAAACAACAATGTTACACTCAAACTATATCTTGTAAATTCAACATACATGAAGGAGAGCGCGATAGTAATGACCATGGATAGCATCCTCTGTTTCTTTTTGATACTTGAGCCAGCGCTCTGGCGACTGACAGGCAGTCATCTTGGCGTGCTCTCCTAGATGAGCCTTATGGCGATTGAACGCTGCACTCAACGGAAATCCGTGAGACCCTAGAAATTAACAACGATGTCAAGTCAACTCTCACATTCTTGAAGCAACTCCACAAAAGATTTAGACTTATAACGCCGATGAGAGGGATCTCCTTACCATCTGAAATGGCGATATTCCCATCCTTGTCGTACCGCTCCGTTATCCAATGGTAACAGCATCCCACGCTAAATAGACATGTCGCAGAACTCTCAAGATAGAGTTTGATCATGTTACTTGTCAAATCGCCACAGGCATGTAGTCCGCAAAGCGTCCACCTCTCTTCTTCCTCTTCTTCTTCTTCTTCCTTCTCCTCAACTTGCTCAATTTCATTGCTCCCGCAACAAGAAACAGATTTTGATTTCTTTGGAAAATGCTCTTTGAGCAGCGTAGGCAAAGTTGAGGCCGTAATATGATGGGTTATATGTTGCAGTTGAAAGTTGCTTCCTGGGGTTGTTGCTAGATTAGGGTCGTTGGCAGAGTCTATTGCTACCCTTTTCTGTCCCTGCTCTTGTTGGCTGGGGTCAGCAGCAGATGTATCAGGCGTTGAAGCTGTTGTACACGTCGGCGTAGAAGCAGATGTGGAGGTAGACGCTGATGCCGATGCTGGCCCAATTGGCGCCTCTAAAGTAGGTGTACCGGGGATGGTGGGATCGTTGATCTCCGAGCTGGGTATATTTTGGTTATCCTCTTTTTTTGCCTTTGACCTCCTTGTCCGGCTAGATCTTTTGCAAGAACTACTACTACGCCCGATAGAATCCGCAGGGCTATTGCTCCTGGATCGCGAGCCCGTCTTGGCTTTCTTGCTAGGGATTGGAGACGCAGTCTCTAAGGAAATAGCTGTGGCTATAGGCGAACCCGATCCAGACACCTCAACTGATATTTCTGTTGGCTCTACCGTCGACGCATTTTCCGCTACCACCGTAGGCGACTCCACCGAGAGGGGCGGTACCGAAGTTTCGCTGGTGGGTTGACTTTTTTTAGTCGCTGAAGATGACCCTTTTTTTCCGCTTGCATTTGAGCCCTTTGGTTTCGTCTTGTTACGGAACAATCTCTCCGTTCGCTTCTGTGTTGTCTGAGCTCCACATGTTTGGATCGTATTCGAGTCCACTCCTAAGACGCACAATTGATGCTGGAATGCCAGTACTCTGCTCAAATAGCCCTGTCCTGCGCCTAAGTCAATAACCGACCGGATGGAATGCTCCTTGGCATATAAAGCGATCAGTCCACTCAGAATCTCGACTTCGTGAAGCTTCTTTGGCGTCATTCCTGGGATCAAATGAATGTCGAGAGTATCCTTGAACTTTGTGACTATTTAGAAAATGAACCATTGATGAGATGGTTGCAAAAGAAATTTCCCTTCAGATTCCAATCACTTCCGCTCAGCTGTGAAACTTACAATCGGGATCTAGCGTACGGTTGATCGAGTGTTTCTTGACCATTCGGACGAAATCCTTTAATGACTCTGGCCAATCCTTTGGTTGATGACTGTGATCCTCAGTGCTCTCGGGTTTGACGGGCAAACTAGGGCATGAACTGCCCTCCTTTGTGTCTGTTGGTGGCGATGGTCCTGACTTAAAGTCCCGTAACTTCCCCAGACTGACAAGCTCCATGAGATCCAAATAACTAAGCTTGCCTTGCTTTGATTCAAAAGCCTCCTTCCAATCCTGAGGCATCCTGGTCTCCCACGAGTTTGTTGTGAAATAGTCAACAATCATAAGGTCAATGAAGGGCTCACAGCTGGTCAAGAAAGAGCGCAGAGAGTCAAGGTACTCCTCCAGACTATCGAATCCAGGAGGTAAAAAAGCCTTGGTTCCCTCTCTCTGGTGGGCTTGTGCGTCACTTCCTGCCCAACCTGTAGATTCCTCATCGTCGGTTCTATATTGATTCATCGTCCTGTCGCTCCAAATTCCGATTGAAAGTAGGCAACGATGGCCGAAGGAATTGAATGGAAGAGATGAATGCAGAAAAAAAATCCTCGGCGATCAAAAAGTTGCTTCCACAGATCAGATGGTGCACGTGGCTTGTGGGAAGCTGGGTACCGGGAACAAAAGATTATGCGTGGTCCGGGAATCGAACTCGGGTCTACCACTCGGAAAAAGGTTATTATACCACTAAACTAACCACGCACTTAGCTAAGTTTAGCTTCATGAGGCTATATCAGATTCATCTGCTTAAGGGCTTCTAGTCATGTATTCAACACAGTGTCTGAATGACGAGATTTCATCCAAAAGCGTGGTTGGTTTAGTGGTATAATTACCGCCTGCCACGCGGTAGACCCGGGTTCGATTCCCGGACCACGCATGATCTTTTGTTCCATGGCAGCCTACTTTTTTTTTTTTGTTGCCCTGGTGAACAGATTTTGGTGTGTCTGGTGTGTATACACACCAAAATACAGAAAGAGAAGTCTATCTGGTAGCCGGTCCTATCTTTGGGGACCAGTAGGGAATGTTATTGCAGAATTTGAGAGATTAGGATTAATATGTGGTGAACGGGTTATTCTCACCACAGACTGAAATTGGCATTCACACCATACGGTGAGAATGAGTTAATCTCACCTCTGCCCTTTTTATCTCACACATTCTGCATCTGTTGCGGCCAAACCATTATAAACTCCGCGGTATGTAATTTGAGGGCCTTGGCGCGTTGGGGTGCTGTATGTGCTGTAATTTTATCTAGTTTCTGCACGTTCTTTTGCTCCTATAAGGATCCAGGTTATGTTTACGCGACCCAAAGTTTGAATTATAGTCCTACAAACCAACGCAACCATGAAGAGGCAACGTTATTTTGCTTATACGTTAATATTTTGGGATTTTTTCCCAAGCTGTGTCGTCGACTCTTTTCCTAACCTCTTCCGCAATACGTTCCAAAGCCCATTCCAAATGAAATCTTTCATGATCTTCCGTTGGCCTGAAGAAGACGACTGCTGTTTTTCAAAGTATCTTTTTGCCTGTTCAAAGTATTGCATCAACGTCAATAGATCCTCCACATTAGAGATGGCGGCTTTAACACGCTCATATGCCTTCATCCTGGCACTAGCGATATTTCTTGGATCGCGTCTCAATGCTTACTTCGGTGTTTCAAGGACGTATCTCGGCACTCTACCTATCTTGTCATAGAAATCTTTTAATAAGTTCTCGGAGACTATTCTGAAGGCTCCAACTTTCGCTCGGCACAACTCCAATTCCTCTAAAGCCCATAGAGCCATGTAATAGCACCACGGTATTCGTTTGTCAATATCTTGATACAGAGTGTTATCGGAATACAAAGTCTTTGGCGATGCTGATATGATTGTTTTGGAGTTTGGGAGTAATGGTTTTGGAGAACTGTCGACAAAGTACCACATTTTAGGTAGGTCAACGTCTTCTTAGAGATTGGGCAAGACAGTTGATTGAATGTGCAGTGGTTAAAGTCATCTCCAACATCAACTCCTCATAGTTCCTCGGAATGCAAAACAGTCTTTGTACCATCAGGCGAAAAATGGCATTTGCCAACAGAACGGCCTTGAATGAGGCTCTCCGCGTGGCAGCGAGTGCCTCTCTCGCTGTTGCCGGTGAAGCCCGAAAGAATCTAGTTCTGGGGATCGTCCAGTTAAGCCGCGTGGAATTTAACAATAGTCAATATTTACCGATGTATACAGTGTTCTATAAGGTTCTATCTAGTTATGCGATGCAGGGTAAGGAGCCAAGACGCCTCGACCATTACAGATGGGTAGGATCGCAGCTGTGCTGTTTGTGAGAGGCAACATGGGTATCTGCAGACCGCAAGTCTCTTCCCGTTGGTGTGTCTGATGGCCGGTGACTTCAGTGATCGACTTGATTTTAATAATAATAATAAAAAAGACAAGTCAATGAACCGAGTGGACAAACGTCAAGAGAGCTGCACGTATGGTGGTGTATTCTATTTTATTCATTCTTGTTTGAACACACAACTGCGAATGTAATTAATTACTCTACAGAGGGCATTAGGGTATAACAAAGGTGTTTTTCTTATTTTCTTCTTTTTTCTTAAGGCGCTGGCGTTGGCGTTGGCGTTCACGTTCAAGTCAGCGACCAGCTTCAAAACACCTCCCAAGAGCGATCCACGCTTCTCCTCGCACTCCCTTGGAACCTCCTGAACGTAGAAGTGGTCCAAACGGGGCTCGAACTCCCTCTCGAGGTTCACGCGCAAGCTCAAGACGGTCTTGGCATCGTTTGAATCCTTGCATCCAGACTTGCACACAAACTTGGAGTCAACACTAGCAGCGACATCAATTCCAGCCTTTGAACCGGTAGGGGCGGGAGCTTCAGCGGGGGCGGGCTCAGGAGCAGGGACCTCAGCAGGAGCAGGCT